GCAATTAATTCCATAAATAGGAACGCGGAAACTCGATTGCAGATTCCTTACTAACAAAAATCAACAAAAATAAATATTTCCGAATCTACAGTAAAAAATGTGCAGCTCTCCCGAACTGTCTTCACTAAAAATACTTATCCACACTAACTCAAAAACTACTCGAAGTAGAAAGCAGCAAAGTAACGATGACGAACAACACAATTATTGCTTCAAAAATTCATTTCAGGTAAATAAATAGGCAATTAATTCCATAAAATAGGACCGCGGAAACTCGATTGCAGATTCCTTGCTCAAAAAAAATCAACAAAAATAAGATAATAGCCACAAATAGAAGCTGCATTCTCAGCTCCGACTACTCGGCAGAGCGGCGGCGCCGCCGGAATAGGGCGTAATCCATTTCCGGATCTTCCGAGAATCTCGGAATTGAGAATGCGAAGAGAGAGAAACTATACTAACCTTTTGGGAACTGAATTGAAATTGCTAAACGTTGCGAGAATTGAGCATTATTTCACGGAGAAATTTGAAAGAGAGGATTTTTTTGACAGATCTGAAATCTAAATTTGGAAATGAGTCATCGGCGTTTGGGAGGCAGAGGAAACACACAGAGAGAGAGAGGCCAAGTGTTGGGCTATGGGCTCTGAGAATCTGGGCTTTTTGTACCAACATTGGGAAACATGAATTTTCATTCATTACCTTTTATTATTGGACTATTTAATTCAATTATATTTGTTTGCGTTTATTTATTTAATGAATACTATTTTATATGTTTCTTTAACTATAATAAATATATTTTTATTAAATAAAATAACAAATGTTGGTTAGAGTTCGCCTCGTCTCGCTTAGTTTGTCCACTACGATTTACACCATCTCGTATTCTGTTTAATTTAGGTAAATTGATGAATTATTGAGTCGAGCTGGACTTGAACGTTCGCAAACATATTTGCTGATGAATTTATAAAATCATTAATGATACGAGTGATGCATTTTAAATAATATTTATATGGAATTATCTTATATATAAAAGAAAGAAACGCTAGGGCAACCCTAAGAAACCCTAATGTCATATTTGTAATTTTTTTTTCAATTTTTATCAAATTTTTATCTCCTTAATATTATTTTACATATTATTTTCGAATTTTATCATATTTGTATCCCCTACATATTATTTCTGATTTTTATCAGATTTTTGTCTCCTAAATATTATCTTTAATTTTTATCAAATTTTTATCTCCT